CAGGAGCCCCTAGTAGCGTCCTTGCTCCTAGTAGCGATGCCCTTTGCACCTAGTAGCTACTTGCTCCTAGTAGTAAGGCCAGGAGCCCCTAGTAGCGTCCTTGCTCCTAGTAGTGATGCCCATTGCTCCTCCTAGTAGTAAGGTCAGGAGCCCCTAGTAGCGTCCTTGCTCCTAGTAGCGATGCCCTTTGCTCCTAGTAGCTACTTGCTCCTAGTAGTAAGGTCAGGAGCCCCTAGTAGCGTCCTTGCGCCTAGTAGCGATGCCCTTTGCTCCTAGTAGCTACTTGCTACTAGTAGTAAGGCCAGGAGCCCCTAGTAGCGTCCTTGCTCCTAGTAGCGATGCCCTTTGCTCCTCCTAGTAGTAAGGTCAGGAGCCCCTAGTAGCGTCCTTGCTCCTAGTAGCGATGCCCTTTGCTCCTAGTAGCTACTTGCTCCTAGTAGTAAGGCCAGGAGCCCCTAGTAGAGTCCTTGCTCCTAGTAGCGATGCTGATGCCCTTTGCTCCTTGTAGCTACTTGCTCTTAGCAGTAAGGCCAGGAGCCCCTAGTAGCCTCCTCTTGCTCCTAATAGAACACAGGTTCCGACAACGCTTTCGGGGATTGGTCGACCGAAGAAGAAGGGAGCCCATTCTCCACCCGCGAACAGGAAGAACAGAGGCTCCGATCTCCAAGCGGAAAGCGATCTCTAATTGGATCGCGGAAATAGCCTTTCACGTGGACTGCCACAATACCGGCCGCTTTCCATACTTGGCCAATCTCAACATGAAATCCCGCTAGTGTTCCAAAACGACTCCTATCGGTTGAGCTACTCTTCGAAAATGCTATGTAGAGGAGGTCCCAATCTTCCTGCAAAAAAGAACAGAAATACACGGCAACGTGCTAGCGGGGCGAACCAAATGAGATCTTCTCCACCCAGTTCTCAGACCATGAATCCGTGCCCTGCTCAGACAGAAGCTACTAGGTGGCCATCGCTAGTAGGTTGGAGGCCATCGCTAGCAAAAAAAGGCTACTAGTAGCTCCTGGCGTTACTACTGTACTAGGAACCAGGTTCGCTACTAGGAACAAAGGGCATCGCTACGAACGGAGACAAGGAAGCTACTAGTAACTAGTAGCTCCTGTATGCGACCTGTTTCATGTCGTATGTTTTCCCTCAACGAACGACCTGAAAACCTTTTTCGATCCATCGAGCCACCGCGCCATAGACCGGGAGCGATGCGCCATACACACGGCCCTGTGCCCGCTGTGCCCACCAGAGCTGCTCCACTGGGATCGGTGCCTTCAGCAGCGCCAGGAAGTCACGGCTCTGGAGCGGGATCTTCGGCAGCTCCTGGAGCGGTCACTCGCCCCTTTTCTGGCGAAAATAGGGCGTGAGGTGAGTTTTGGGCGTGAGGAGATGTGGGTTTTGATGTTAACATGATTCCTGTACTATGGCGTGTTTGGCCATAGTGCCCTCAAAGTACTGGTCTCAGAGGTCTCAGACCGAAGCGTCTTGGGTTGTCTCCGCACCCTTTCTTCGGGTACAAAAGGCACGAGTTCCGAAGGACAAGGATTTGTTCATGTGTTCCCTCAAGGCGAGCGATATGATGCCAGTTTGCGCATGTGTGAGAGTAGACCGAAATTCCTTATGACCTCCCCATTCGTACCTTCTAGTGGTGTTCTGTTGTGCTGGAAACACCGCTTCCGCCTCCAAAGCACTCTGCCAACGATGCACGGCCAGTGCTGCCAGCGGCCCAGCGCCAGGGCACCGTCGATAGCAAATTAGGCCCAGAGCCCAAGCACTGGCCATTCCCACCTCGTGCATGTCTTGCATGGTCTATCTTGGAACGCCACATCATGCACAGGATAGATGTTTATCAAGCTATGCGCCGTGCAGTACATCTAAGTTGGTGCATGGAACTGAAATGCGCTGACCCGGTTGAACCCAGTTGATCCAGTTGACCCGATTGACTTTGTGTGATGGTAGTGGTAGTCGTAGTGGTAGTGGTAGTCGTAGTGCTAGTGGCAGTGGTCGTCGTCGCCGCCGCCATCGTCGTGGTGGTGGTGGTGGTGGTGGTTCGTCAGGGTCAACTGGGTCAACTGGGTCCTCGTGGCCCCTAGTAGCGTCCTTGCTCCTAGTAGCGATGCCAGGAGCCCCTAGTAGCTTCTTGTTACTAGTAGCTACTTGCTCCTAATAGTACGGCCAGGAGCCCCTAGTAGCGTCCTTGTGGCCCCCTGTGCTGTCGCAATGTGAAATTTGGATGTAGCTGAGCCACCCGACCATTTGAATCGACGCGCGCACAGCCTCAGCCCCGCCACCTTTCATCAGCTCCAATCCTCGACCTCAGGGGCGTGCCAATGAGTGATGAAAGGAGAGGCAGAAGATGTGAAGCACTAGATTTATCAACACATGCTCTTCAAAACAGGAAGGACTAGGCGACTAGGGGATACTTGATTGAGCAACTAGGACAAGTGTGCCCGTGTGAAGTCCAAGGACCCTTGCCATAGGGAGAGGCCTCCCCGTGCGTTTTTCTTGGCGAAGACTGGCTCAAAAAGGCACGAGGCAATCGTTTCACTTCGTCTCAGGTCTAAGATCTTCCCTGACTCAGCCTCCCACGCCAAGCATCGGCTTCCCGTTGAGAAGACAACAAAGTGGTTCCTGGGCAACGCCGCAACTTTCAAGGATCAAATAGATGATCCCATGAGTCAATGTGTTCAATGATGTCCGTGAGTCAGATTGCCTCCTCTCCAAGAGTCAGAGTTCCCCTGTGATCTTCACAGACATTCACAGACTCCCTTGACCAATAGCACTGCCTCCCGTGCACCTCCGTTCAGGGGGACTGAAGAGTGCACCATGACCATTCGCTCAAGCATCGAGTAAAGTCATCCAACTCCAAGCCGTTCGCCCGCAGCTGCGCGCATTGTCCAAGAGCTTCAGGCCAACCTTGGTCAAGCAAAGCCCTCGCGCAAAGCGCTTGAAGGATGAAAAAGGATCCTGGGCTCAAGGGATGAAAAAGTGGTGGGTTGCGAGTTGCATGTGCAATCAATATTTAGAAATACTTCACACTCATGTGTTGCTTCTCCCAAGGATCTGTCTTGTGCAGCTGTCAAGACACCATGACTCCGGAGAACTACTACGGGCAGAGACGACATGTTCAAACCATAGACTCAGTGTGGACAAGAGAAATCAACTACCCGTCCATGAAAATCCAAGGTCATTGAACTTGGGGGGATATGGTTCTTTTTTCCCATAAGTTCAGTCAGTGACAGAGTTGGATATCTTGTCCACCTACTGTTGCTTCGTATGTAATCAATGGATTTGGACAAAGTAGAAGACAACCTGTTACCACACAACCTGACCATTTGGTGGATAGAGTTGGCAAATTTGAAGAAAAAGTAGGCTTGCTGGAAGGTCCCTTGCAAATCTAGCGGTTTTTGCCTAGTGTTCAATGGGTCCACTTCCACTCAACCAGCACTTCATGCTTTGGGGGGAGGAACGAGCAGAGTCGACCAAGGCAGAGATGAGAATGTTGTAGGTCTGCACACCTGATGCAAAAGCACCCGGTCAGGATTTGGAAACATTGATGTTCACTTTCTTTCTGTGTGATGCATGATTGTACCATCCGATTTCTTTTCTCCAATAAAGACCATCGGTCCTCCGCTGCGCCCGACCACTGAAACGTCCACGTGCCGAAAAGAAAGCTGTGCGACTCTTCATCCGAACCAACGATCCCCACCGGAGAATCCGCTGTGACCGGTTTCGCCCAACCGCTCTCCGACCCGGAGACCGTCCCTTCCGTGACGGCCCGACGGCCACATCGGCCTATCTGTATGGAGTTGCGCGAGAGCTGTCCCAAGAACTCTGAAGCCTTGGAGATCTGTGAGCCTGCGAGAAGGACAGTCGAAGGCACAGGGTGGAGTCGGAATGACCTCAAAGATCTGAGGCGTTTAGGGGTCGAAGTCACCGGCAAAGGACAAGGAGCGTTTTGTTGAGAACTGCTTTAATCATCTTTAACCCATTCGACATCTGCAGCTACCTCAGCTACCTTTTGATTGCCAGTATCAACACAACTGCTAACGCAAGGAGGCCTCTCTTCAGGGCTGACATCATCACTCCAGAGGAGACATGATCCTCAGGAAGAATTGATAACTTCAGAATGAATCCCGATGGATTGACTCCAAGTCTGGCAGTGGCAGTATTTACTATTTACTATGATTTACATCACACACCCTCATGATAGTATCGCTGGTAATTGCTCACTGGTGCACTCGTCCAGCACAAGAATTATACACATGTTCAGTAGGAGTGTGCTGCAAAAGGAGGAGATTGCCGATCACGGAAAGCAAAGTCAGTTTGGCAACTTGTAGTGCGTTGCTGACAGCACTTGCAACCAGAATCAAAACTGTCTTGAAAACTTGAGGCCATTCCTAGTAGGTTGGAGGCCATCTGCACTCATGCTGTTTTGGCAACGCCAACAAGTCGCCAGCTGGACTCGGCATCTCACAGGCAAAGCTAAAATCTCCAGCGCCCAGGCCCACAATCTGCTCTTCCCGCCACTCTTCGCACAGGCTGCTGCCGCCGCATTGTAGACAGTCGTATCCTTTGTTCTGGCTGAAGAATGACGTGCATGAATCTCTTCTAAGAGTGTTCTGGCTGAGGCTTAACCACTGTCCAAAGCTGATTGAGACACTATGAGACCAACAAAGCAGGCGTGCCCACCTCTCCGCCTCCAAGACACTGCGGAGAGGTATGGAGCAGATTCCAATGCGATTAAGGCGGCCAACGTCTTTGGCCACTGCTGAACACGGCCATAACTGGCCAACAGCTTGGTGAAGTCCACTAAATCGGCCTCGGTTTGGCAATCCGAAAGTTGGGTCGTCAATACTCGATGTCCGAAAAGGTGTTCTCGAGCCAAGCCACTTGCCCATGCTGCACCTGCTGCAGCAGCCGTGAGATCTCCATGCACCATGGCCACCACCGGCCGTGGCCACTCGTGACGCAACGTGGCTCCCGGTGGCTACGAAACCAAATGGCAACGGTATGCAAAGCCACAGAAAAGGCACCCAAAGCACCCAAGAACTGTCCAAAATCACACGAATGACGCGATGTTGAAACAATCGCACCGCTCTCATCCACTCTCAAAGAAAACTGTTTGGCTGGCGCTCGCTGTCGCAGTGCGGTTTTGCACATGGCCTGCAAAGGCAACGGCAAAGGTCCCTGAAAACCATTGAAAACTAGAAAAATCTTCAGCTAGCTGAATGATACTGATAATCTCTGGAAAAGCCTGACAGCACGTTTGAACAAATGCGAAGAGTGATGAAAAGTGGAGTCCGTCATCCGCGTTTGGTGTCTCACCACTCAGAGTTGACCCGTCGCACCTGCGAAGAAGCCAGGTCCCCACCGATGGCAGCGCATGCCACGTGGGCGTCGCAGGCGTCGCAGGCGTCGCAGGCGTCGCAGGCGTGTGCTGCGGTGGATCGCGCTGCGTCGGTGCACGCTGTGCGATGGGAGAGAAACTGAGAAGGCGCTCATGAGCGATGCTCATGGCCACTTCAAATTCCAAGGAAGGCCTCAGCAATCGATTCGGAACCCCTCTGAGTTCATCTCGTATAGAGTCCACATGACATGGACCATGAAACGAATGCACGGATTTCTGAATGTGTACTGAGCTTCACCTTCACGGCAGAGAGCTTGCTATATCTACAGTATAGTACCCTCATATTTGCGGCAGACCGAACACGCCAGACCGAACACCCCAGTTTTTCGAACTTGTGTCCAAGTATCTCCCGACTGGCACCCACCCATGGTGACAAGACCTTGGCCACCGGGAGCTCTTCAGTCTCGCCCTCACAAGCACGACACGCAGAAGTGAGGCCCAGCATGCTCAACACACCCTCGGCCATGGAGTGGAAGCCGAACTGCTTCAGGGAACAGCCTAGAGGCCAAACAAGAGAAGAGAAGGCATGAAAGGCGAAAAGCCAAGCATGCACCATGCCAAAACTGCGCATAAACCCTGATCATCAATGCTATGGCGAAAGTAGCTAAGCCCAGTTTAATCGATACAGGTGTCTATGCATGTTGGTGCCACGACAGAAGTGCACGTGTGTTGTTGGCAAAGAATGGCTCCAGGTCAATTGTGCACCCCACCAAGATTGGGACATGTACTTGCATGGGCATGCTGCTGAATCATACTTGTTATGTACGGATGTAATATGTGATATCATGATAGATGAAGGCAAAACCAAATATGCAGAACTAGCGAAAAGTAGCGATGAAGCACTGGCAAAAGCTGCTGACTGGCACAAGCTCCCCCTAGGAACAAGAAGCTACTAGGAGCAAAGGGCATCGCTACTAGGAGCAAGGACGCTACTAGGGGCTCCTCGCCTTACTACTAGGAGCAAGAAGCTACTAGTGGAATCACATCTGAGGCACGGAGGTCGTTGCCCTCACTGGAGCCACAGAGGGAGCTATTGCGCGGGAGTCGACCAACACCTAAGGCTTCGCAGAGCGTGTCGCCGAAGTCCAAACTGTTGTTGTGGACCAAGTTGTATTCCTTGCAGTGGCGAAACTTCGAGAAGGTGGCATGATGCTGCTGTTGCAAGAGTGTTTTCGAGCACAAACCTCTTGAAGCGGCTTTCTTGAAGGGACAGCGTGGCCAACTCAACCAAAAGGGAAATCCTTGAAAAAAGAATCAGCTGGATTATGTGTGTCTACTTGATGGACGCAAAAAATGGTGGAGAACCACCATGTTCCCTGTCCAGCTTCAGCGCCCCTCCACGATCTGGACATCTTCGTGATCATCTGGAGAACCTCCTGTCGCTACGCGAGCCTCGCCTCGCCACACCAACAAGACGCGATCGGTACTGAAGCCTCGTCTGGATCGGAAGCCTTGATCGGTTCCTTTGCATTCCTTTGCTATTTATTAGGAAGCTACTAGGAACAAGTGCATCGCTACTAGGAGCAAGGTGCCTTACTAGTAACAAGAAGCTACTAGGACCTTTGCTATTTAGCTTGGAGGCCGCAATTCGCTTCCTGCCACTCACCTGCGGACTTCGGTTGGAGGCCCGACGGCGCTCGAGCGACCGTCCTGCTCGGAGAGGCGACATGGACCCATCTCCAGGGTGGCCCGATACACGCGCCCCTCGCAGCGCCGAGGTTCACCTGAGTGGACTCGTCGGACTCGGACGAAACCTACAGGACTCGAGAGAGACCGGAGGACTCGTTTCGAGAGCTTGACAGATTTGATGCTTCCGTAATGTGGTCCTCTGATTCATAAACGCCCCTAGAATCATGTAGTGTTTTCCCCTGCACTGATTAATAAAGGCCCCCAGAATAATGTCTTTCTTTTTTTTGGCAGGGATAGTTGTAGTGGAATATGTTTAATTGTTATAGTTTACTTTTTCCCTTTTGAGTTTGCTGGAATTTGCTTATCTTGCAGGCTTTTGGATGGAGATTTCTATTAAACATTTGAAGATGTCCATTGAGATTTGATGCTTTTGGAGGCTTTTGGATGGAGATTTCTATTCAAACTTTAGAGATTTCCATTGAGATTGCATGCTTTTGGAGGCTTTACTTACCTAAGCTCTTTAGTCTTTAAGCTTTCCAAAACTTTCCAAAAGTCAGTGCACACTTTCTTTACAAAATCCCTTATTCAAAAGTATTGAAAACACAAACAAAAAAATCATTCAGGCAAACGGGGTAGTCCAGCAAGCAGCTTTCTGACATTATTTAGGGGGGGCCTAGAATAATGTCTAGAGATTTCAGGCTTCAAAAAGTATGTTGCTTTAAGTAAACGTGTATTCATTCCCTTTCTTTTCCTTTTGATTTGCTTTTACTTACCTAAGCTCTTTAGTCTTTAAGCTTTCCAAAAGTGTCCAAAAGTCAGTGCACACTTTCTTTACAAAACCCTTATTCAAAAGTATTGGATGCTTTTGAAGGTCTTTGGATTCAGATGTCCATTAAAATATTGAGAATTCCATGTCAACTTTTTTGATTTCCTTTTATTTTAGTATTCCAGATGTCTTCAATTTGAGATTTAATTGATTCCCTTTATGTTTAATATTGCCAGAGAAGGCCAAGAAGATTTTAAAAAGGATTCTAATTGTGTTTGTCCTTTGATTAGTTTTCTTGTAGATTATATTGGAGGCCCTGGTTGTGGAGGGGGGGGGCCGGGGGGGGATAATTAATCAAGGGACTACATTAGTTGACCCGAAATGAATCATGCCACAAGTGCACTGTACGTCTCCAGCTGCAGTTTGGACACCTGTGGTGCAAGTTAGTTCACAGGAACAATGGCATCCTGACCCCAGGGAGGCCGTATGATGCCATGCTACAAAGTAAGCGATGTCTCCGCAAGAGACCGTTGTGGTTTAGCTGCCTGGTTCCCAGGTTCCCCTGTGTCATGTGCCACTTGCATCTGAAGCACATTCGGAGATGCCGGTGACATCCTCCTCAGTGAAATGATAGCCCCACTCGCGGCCATAGATCTCGATTCCTGGCCAAGACTGATACTTAACTCCTGATTATCGAAAATGAATCTGAATGAATCTGAGCAATTCGAGTCCGAAGGGATTCACCCTTGATGTACATCATTACAACCCTCTTGGCGTTTTCAGCTAGTTTCTCATAGTTTCTCTATTTCTTCTTTTGTCGCACTGGTCTTGCAGACCGGAGATGCACCGCTACTCGGGTGGGCGAAGATCCTGCAAGCGTTTTGGAAGTTTGGGCTGGGGCTCGTTGTGTTTTGGGGGAAACATGGAGAGTGCGGAGAGTGCTGAGAATATGGAGAAACAGGTCTCTTCGATGGTCTCTGGTGACTTCAGGTGACTGGTGGGCGAACTAGTCATGGTTTGATCACACGGATCAGACGTCACGTGTCTCTTTTTCTCAAGATCAGACGTCTGATCGGGTCTGGCTGTGCGAACCATCGAGGCTGTACACGTCAAGCCCTCAAGCCCAAAGGGCGCTGCATGGAGCTGTATCTCTGAGACAAATTCTGCTAGTTTGGGCACGAAGAGAATCTAGCCGGTTAGTAGTTCTTGCCAACATGAACAGAACAGAATCCTTAGCCCACAAGCCTATGACGATTTCTTGCCAGGGAGAGATTGTCTGGAACACTCTCTCTTTACATTCGTCAGAGAACCCTGGCTATACTCTTAACATCTCTTAACAAATGTCTGAACCTCTGACATTCTCGGCTTCCTTTACCAGCAGTTCCAAAACACACGGGGAGAGACCAATAGACTCAGCTTGAAAGTTGAAACCCGCTGGATCTTCTTTGGGGATCTTTGGGGTCTTGCGGAAACGGGTATAGGCTCAAACTCTGCTCGCCTTCGTGAAGGCTTACTTATGGATCACCTCACCCTGGGAAAAACGTCATCATTCACAGCGTTTGCCATGCAGTGTATTCCATGCCTGGTGCCCGGCACCATTAGGAACCAGGCACCGAGTCAGGCTGGAAATGATACGGCACGAATTTTGAAATGCCCAAATGGCCCAATGCCCATCAAACAATCAGCCAGTGTGCCCTCACAGGCGGCCATGAATGATTCAGGCATCGTGGCACGATGCACAGGTTGCCTCCTGTGGTCTAGGCCGATCCAAGTACTGAATGTAATAAACCGGTCCATCAGCAGCTTCTAGAATCATCTCACTTGTCTGACAACATGTCCTCTAAGGGGTTACAACATGTTACAACCTTCTGTCAGTTGCTAAATTAAATCTCCAGCAGGTGGTGAGCCTGTCGCGCCCAAGCAGCAAAACTTGGACACTGATGTTGGAAGGTGCGTGTGTGCAACCAGTGGACCAATCATGCCCAACGATCACAGAAAGAGTCCACAAGGACTTGTTGCTGCATAGCATTGACCTGGTATTGCCACCTGTGTATGACGTCGTTGCATTATCACTCTCCCCTGCTGCATGCAATATCCACTGATCCAGTTCGTGTGCAACACAGCATGATCGAGAAAC